AATTGTGTGGCAAGTCCAATCATACTTCTATGCCCAAGGAAGTCGAGAAATTTTCCAACCCGGAAAATTCCTAGACCGGACCGGGAATTGAACCCAGCCACCTCCAGCATGGTCTTGCTTTGTAGCTGCGCCTTTACCGACAGAGATAAGGGAGGCCCCAGCAGCTTCTTTCTTGCAGGCGGTAGTATTGTGAGCCCCAGCACATTTGCCACAACAAGCCTTCGTGTGACAATTCTTCGTACCGTGCCCAAATGCCAGACAATTAGTGCACTGTGTCACGTCACGGTGCCGAGGGCGAAGCTGAAGAAAAGTGCCAACAGCGTTGTAGTTCGCCAGCGTCGAACACAAGATTTTGATCCCCGTGCTGCACAGCTTGAACAGCGGATGTATTTGATTTTTTGCCAGCTCATTCCTGAGCAACGCGAGTTCCTTCGTGGAGGTGAACAGTGGGGGCACTTTTTCCCGTTTCTCAACTGGATCTATATCTGCTTCTTCGGGGAGTGCCGAGAACGGATTACTCTGAAGCAACCTTTCCGTGTGGTTGCTGGCACCAGCTTTCTTGCGAGGCCTTTTCGAGGCATCTTGAACGGATGCGGTTGTATCCAAACTTTGGCGATCCATCACCTTTTGTTTCTTCAACGGGCGAGTGGAGGCATTCAATTGTTGCTCCACTACCGCCGATTTACCGACTGCCACAAGAGAGGCAAGAACTGACGACACGTTGCTAGCCAAAGCGAAAACTTGCGACGGGTACCACGACCAAACGACCGACTTAAAACACCGAACGACTCGAGAGAGCGAGCGAAAAGAAAATCGGACTGTACAGCTTGATGGTCAAGCAGAGAATCATAAACTATCCGACTCTAATTGTAAGGTTCCGCTCTTTATACCCTGGGTTATCCTCGTTGTTCGACTTGATCAAGTCTGATAACCTCAAATTGTAATCAACCTGTCATTGTATGAAGGGCCAAAAACGGGTTCGGTGAATCCGTGAAACATCGCCCACGTCCATCGACGCGATAAATGAGAATCTCCTTCCAACAACAGGATCATACAACCGGTCAAAAAACAGGCCATCCATCGTGTGAAGAAGAGCCCACCCTAAGCATCCTAAAGTTGTCACTACGGAGCAGGAAATGTTGAAATCATCACTAAAAAAAATCCACACGTTTGATCGAAGTGTTTAAACACTTGATTTCACACGTTAATTTCTAGTGTTTCAAACTTTGAAATGATGAAAATCTTTCACTATCTGTTCAAGTGTATTGCACATTTATAAAGATATGTGAAAGCTCTGGCCTCTGGGGTTTTTTTTTTATATTTCAGTGCCAAGATTTCAAAGGGGCGTAATTGCTTTTGTAAACAATGACTTTAGCCGTCAATATCTCGCGAATGAAATCTTACCTCTCCAAAATGACAATGCTAACTGGTAGAGGAAACATTCCTCTACCTGCTGGCAAGGTTGCAAAGACTCATTTTAGCTAAAACAATGTTTTTCTAAATTATGAAATAATTAGATGCCATGATCAAATTTTGAATTGGTAGGATACAAGAAGAGGTTGAAAAGAATGTGTTTGACATATTAAACCTGTTTATTTCACTTCATGAGAGTCACAATCAGCGATTTTTCACAAACTCACTCACTCACTCACTCACTCACTCAGCGATCAGCAAATCGCTGATTGTGACTCATAGAAAGCAAAATTTACAGGTTTTATGTTTCCAACGCATACTTTGTAGCCTCTTCTTGTAAGTTACAAGTAAAACATGCCATCATACCATCTTTTGGTTTTATTATTCCGAAAAACATTATTTTAACTGAAATGAGTCTTTGCAACCTTGCCTGCTGGTGTCATTATTTTTCATGAGTGAGCTTTTATTCACGAGAAATCGACGGCTAAAGCCATTGTTTACAAATGCAATTACGCCCCTTTGAAATGTTGGCACTGATTTGTCGAATCATTTTTAGAGTCAGTAAAGTAGAAGTCGATAAAGTAGAATATTGTAGAATATTGAACTATGATGTGCAAAGCTATTGATATCACCATATGAGGAACATAGAATCCAAGTGTGTCACAATTCAAATCCATAGTGTTCAGGCATGGTTCATAGCATAAGATGCACACATGTAATGGATGTGTTTCAAAATAAGTGTGAGACACATGATGATGACGTGTGGAATTTTTTGAGTGATGGTTGAAAGCAGAACAAAATTTCGATTCAATCGTTGTACAAAACCTTATGGGTGGAATTAAGTAAACCAAGCTTATATATAGTATTACATTCCCTGAAAATTTCATGACAATCGGTTGAGAGACTTATTTTTGGCGAGTAATTCTAAGTGATGCAATTTAACTGTGGACACCCTTTAGTACAAAAGTGCGTCAAGTTTGGACCTAGTGGGGTGGTTCAAAATATTGATTTTGCTCCACCAAGCTCAATCAATTCCTCAAAATTTTAGCTAATTTGAAAGTGAATTCATCCTGCATTGGCTATGTGTATGAGAATTAATATGGGAAAAGTTATCTTTTTGTTCTTAACATTCTAGCCCTTTGCTGTAGTGATCTATTGAAAAGTTTGCCATCTGTTGATATGACAAATTTTATCAGCTACAACTTTGCTGACGACTACTTTTTTATTAGTCTTCAAGGTAAATGATTTCGAAGCCAATAAATTTGTGATATGGACAATCGACTGATTTCAGGGCAACACTGCATCTTGCACTTATGAAATAGTAGCCTGGAGTTTTTGCTATTTTTTTCGCGCCTGTTGCCTGCTGAGCAGTTGATGAAGCATGTTACAATAACATCATCTTCCTAATTAATCAATAAATAATTATTCTGACGATCAATCAAAAAGCGATCTTCAGCAAAGCTGTAGCTGAGAAATTTTCACATTAGTACAGATAGTAAACTTTTCCAGTAGTGAGCAGTATGAGTTCGCTTCCAAATGGCACAGATTTTAGGAGAATTATCAGGACCTGATTTACAATCGATTGAGCTTGGTGGAACAACATCCATCGATATTTTGAACCACTCTAAAGCTCGATTCAAGATAATCTGGACGCACGGTACAACCACCACCGGTACGGTACACTCAAAGATAAATTAAATCAAAAAAGCTTAAAAAGTATGCAGATTCCCGCTTCACCTTATTGAGTCCGAGCCATGATTACTTCGGTAGTAGTCATGTATGATTAAAATCAAAATAATCTTTCCAGTATTAAATTTTATTCTTTTTCAATACTGATACATAATCAAAAAAGATTAAAATTCAATCAAAAATTATTAAAATAGAATCAAAAATGATTAAAAGTTATTCAAAAAAAGATAATCTACAATCTAATCAACCATGATTAAACTGGGATTCATATCAGATGCTTATTTTTTAGAAAGAGAGGATTAATTTTTAATCATTCGATATGATTAAACTGAGTTTAATGTCAAATTGATTAAATTTCAAGCAAAATGGGAATAGTTCAATTTATCAGTGTACAATACACCACCGCGCCCCTGGTGGTTGGAACAAAAAACGTTTGACAGGCATTTGTTGATGTTTCATTGACGAAGAAATTGGTCAAAAGTTTTGCTCGATTGATCGACGCATCCCGAAATTACGGATCATGGAACTTGAGAAAAGAAAATTAATTGTGCACAAACATCTAGAGACCCCTTCGTGGTCTGCCTCAAAAATAGCAAAAGTGTTAAAATTACCAAAGTCAACGGTGAGTCTTGTAATCAAACGTTTTAAGGATACTCTGAGTGTGGATAGAGCACAGCGCATCTATCATAAAAGTGGCACTAGGGACTAAGAGCTGAGGAGAAAGGTGTTGAGGTACGTGAAAAGCAACCCGGGTGTCTCCATACGAGATTTGGCAAAAAGTACGATTCCAACTTTTCCACCGTGCGTAACATCCTTTCAAGAGAAGGATATAAGTCTTTTTGTGCCCGTAAACATCCCAATCGCTCCCTGAAACAAAATTTAGTGGCCAAAAAGCGAGCACCATTACTATACGAACGTGTTTTGACGAAATTTGATGGCTGTATTTTAATGGATAACAAAACATATGTCAAAATGGATTATAAACAAATCCCCGGACGAAAATTTTACCTGGCAACTGGTCGTGGAGATGTCGCTTCCAGATATAAATTTGTTTTTGCTGATAAGTTTGCTCGGAAACTAATGATTTGGCAAGGAATCGGCAGTTGTGGCCTTAAAACCAAGGTTTTCATCACAACTCACACAATGACGGTGAAGGTTTACATTAAAGAGTGTCGGATTTTACCCTTCATTCGGCAACACAAGACCAACGTTATGTTTTGGCCGGATCTAGCCAGCTGCCACTACTCTAAGGAGGTACTAGAATGGTATGCTGCAAACAATGTTAATTTTGTCGTCAAAGAGATTAATCCTCCGAATTGCCCTGAGTTCAGACATATAAAAAAAAACTTCGAGGATGCGGTAAAGAAGTGGCAAATGCACAACAAATGCGTTTAAGGTGGAATAAGTTCGCCGGTACAGTGTCACCAGCGACTGTGCAGATCATGATGGCATCGATCACAAGTAAGGTGAGACAGTAGGTTCGAAACTGTGAAATGTAGTAACTTGTTATATATCGTTTCAAAGCTAAATAAATACCCTTTTGACGTTTTGATCAACCGTGTTTGTTGTTTAATTCTTGAGTTATGATCACTTGAATGCGTCCAAATTTACTTTAAACCGGGCTTTAGTACATCTACCTTCTGATTTACTTCGTTGATACTTATCTCCAAAACCAATTTATCTACAAAACAGTTGAACATTCTGTGCCGCCATTTTTCGATATATTTTCGCAGTAGCTGTCAAGCTTAAATGAAGAGGAAAAATCGGCTTTCTGCCGTTCGCCAAGCATACGGAAACCAGGAATGCTATTTCCATTCTTTTATAGTACCTAGACCTTCCCCTTGGAATTCCGTTGAAAAAGGAAAAGCTTACACGGTGCAAACTGTACTGTTACTTACTTTGCATGCGTAAACGTTCCGTCCGGAGCTCGGGCCTTGATTTCCGCATACTCCCGTATCAGGCCCTGTTTGCCCCGTTCCCGCACCATTTGTACAATTTGCTCTATTGTCTTTGGATCACCTTCGGCACCGGCCAGGCTGTCGTCGTCGCTGAAGCCGGACGACGCGCTACTGGGTGGATTTTCGCTCCACAGTTCACTGTTGCTGGTGTTGTGATGATGGTGGTGGTGACTGTGATGCACATGATGGGCAGCGGCCGCCGCCAGGTCCGAAATGTCCTCGACCCCGATGTGATCAATGCTACTGCTTGGCGTCCGGTGATGACCGGAGACGTACTCGGAGAGATCGGTTGTACCGGTTGCCGTCGCCATGGCAGCAGCGCCGGCCAGGTGTGGATCCAGGATAGCCGTGGTAACTGTTGCCGTTGCACCACTTCCCATAGTACTGCCGGTTTGCGATGCACTGTTGGTCTGCTGTTGTTGTCCAGTGATTATTTCGTCCTCACGATTCGTCATCGATTTGTAGCAATGGAGCAACCTGGAAGAAGGGTGAGGGCAAACGTTGTATTAAACATTCATATCAAAAAGTGATGATGAACCGCACGTCCTTGAAACGCAATGGTGGATATGAGTAAAAACCACACGTGGAGGAACAGGATGTGCCTTTCCGGCTGCTATCTAATGGAATGAAAATTGTTCTGAACTACATACTGCTAGCATAATGCTGCTACAGGTGAGTTCTCGCGTGATGGAAAAGAAAACAGAATGGATGTCAGTTAGCAAAGGAAACTAATAATCAACATAGCAATAGTGATAGGTACATGGCTCTAATCAGAGCCTATTTCTTTGGTCATGCAATATTGCGAGGAAATTGTTGTGGTGCGAAGGGGCAAAAGCTGCGAGACGCCGAACCACCCTCAACGGGTGGTTCTATTATGGATGGATATTTGTTCTCTATTAGCCACTAACAACATCATTATGACCAAACGGCTGGTAGCCTTGGACTTCTTTCACTAAGAGTTGGAATTGTAGGTATGTCCTTCATCAGAGTGGACTTGACCTTGACAGAAACAGAGTTGCCGTGATGGATTGTCATAAACTAAAAGCGTGAATACGTCCATGAACAAGTGTGCTGTTCCAGAGAAAGCAGTAGCAGTTGGGTTGGTATGTAACAAGAGAGTCCTTTTGATTAAGGGATAGCAGTTGTCTGTTGCTGGTGGGCGATAATGTGGGTAAAGCGGTTTCGTTTTAGGTGACGTTCTACTTTTTCTGAATTACGTTTATGGATTCTATTAGGTAGATGGAGTGAGTGAGAGAATGAACGAGCGTATTTTTGGCCAATTGATTTACGTTTACCTTAAACTTGGCATGCACAGCAAATGACGCAGTCCTACACCCAGAAACTGTATGATCTGTGCATCCTGAGGGTAGTCAGTATATTCAGTGAAGGCGTTTTGTTTTTCATTCGTTCCACCGGAAATTGGTGATAAGGAGTAGGTGTGGGTTCGCGATACAGACAGAGAGAGAAAAAGAAAGATACAAATAAACCGGATGAGGTTGTGTCCTCATGTGGCCAACCGCCGCCGATTGTCTGTGCCCTTCTTCCCCAGACTAAACGGCTGAAGGAGGCAGCGTGGAATAACGCATGTACGAATGGTGTATGTGTGTGTGTGTGTGTGTGTGTGTGTGGTGTAGGTGGTGGATGCGTGGGTGATGTTTTCTTGTACGCGTGGGAAGACACTGTCGGACCTCGGAAGTTATGATATACGAGGAGCAGACCATGTTTGAAGGATAGGAAAAATACAAGTATGATAATTTATTCTACTGTAGGTTTATAAGCTAAAGTATAGGAAATCGTCGTTGGTCGCATATTGATAGATGTCAGTGATCTTGATACCATAATTGATGGAACTTATGGACATCCACAACGCAAGCAGCGAAATCCATCGACCAATTGGCCTCACAGTTGGCAGACCACCACCCTACAGAACAACGAGAAATGTGTCCCAAGTCAGCGTACCCTTTCGAGTTGGCAAACCGATTGGGATACTAAAACCATGGACGGTGGTTACATTCAATTATTCCGAATGTTTCTTCGAGAGCGTGGTTTAAAGGCTTGGGCTTAAGTCGTGACTTCATTCGCGTGATGAGTAGACTTATGTCCAAATGTCTGGTATAAAAATTTAATTCGTTTGTCTTTTGTATCTCTATATTAGTTTTTGTTTGTCTTGTCCCCCGTATCGATGAGTCTCATCATCGCCCACGGTCACCATAGTCGATCGAACTCCAGACGAACCTAGAACCACACTACCGTTCATACTGGCGACATCGCTCTGATGAGACAACGAAACCCTACCCCCAAGCTCCTCCCGTTTTCCTATCTTTCGACAATGTACCGCTCTAACCTCGGGTAAGCCGCGAGTATTCGGCCCAACTCCTATTAGACATAGAATTAAGTGAATTTTGTTACAAACAAAGAACAATGAATTATCGGCTCCATAAAGCTAACGCGATTGAGCCTTACAAATAAACGAACTAGATAAAAAAATGTGCCCCGGCAAAAGAAAAGATTTTCCGTAAAGTTCCATGATTCTACGCTTTTTGCTAGAATTTACAGTAGAACCATTCCACACATGCAGATTTTCGACCCGTGATTATGCTTTTCATTTCAAACTTATAATAAACTTTATACTATTGAAATGTCCACCAATGGAAAGCAGTAATGATTAACTATGTTTTCCAATCAATAGTTATGAATATAGTCACTAATAAATACTACCGTAAAGTGCCATATTTCTCCGCACCTTAGGCCTAATTCCACGCAGTTTTGAAAATTTATTAAATAATTATACAAATACAGTCACTTTAATGAGCTAAATATTATGAGAATTTTGAAGAGATTTTAGAATGAATTCTGGAGATAGCAAAAATGTTTTTCAGAGAAACCATCAGGTTTTTTTTTAAAGAACTCTAAGAGAGATTTTTGTAGAACTCAAAGTCATTTGTGAGACTTCAAACCTTCAGGAGTAGAATCTTTAGGTAATTCTTTTGGAAAATTCATGACGATTGTGAAGCGGAGTCCAGGTCCACTTCTGATGAATATTGAAAATAAGTTCCTAGACAAATTTTCAAAGAGATGTCATAACAATACGAAGGAAATTCTTAGAAAATTTAAAGATAATTTCAAGTGAATTCTAAAGCGAGTTACAAGGATCTCACGATAAATACCAAAGAGAGCATCTCAAGAAGAATTTCAAGACGATTTTTCAGAAGAATTTAAAGAATTGCTCCAAGATAATTCTCGATTTTTTTTTATTTTCGAAGGGACGTATCAGCTTTTGTGAACAATGATCGTCAATTTCGCGTAACTGGTAGTTTGCCCACGCATACTAATACTACCATAGGGGAAAAATTTCCCTACCTGTATGCGTGGGCGAGCTACCAGTTACGCCAAATCGATGATCAAATGCGTTGTTTTCAAAAGCTGATACGTCCCTTCGAAAAAGTTATCGAGAATTATGAGTAAAATTGTATGACAATTTTGAGGAAAACACAAAATTCAAGTATAAATAGGTAGAGATAAAGCTAAAATTAACAAATAGATGTGAAATTCATATCAGTTAAAACAAAAAATAAACAAAGACTTGGCAGGGTGTCTACTCAATCCAAGGAATCAAATTCCCTGAGTTTTCCAGGTTTTTCCAGGTCGGATGAAAAAAATTCCAGGTGCATACAAATTATACACATTATTATTTTATCGAACCCCCTTGTTTGCTGGTGTTCACACTGCTTGCACATGTCGAAAGAACTGTCAATTTAGATTTCAAAACAAAACTGTATCAGGAATCAAAAGTAAATACTTCCATCATGAATTACCGGAAAATTGCTCTAGTTTCAGCAGACGTATTTGCTTTTATTATTTTAAATAAAATGAGAAAGAGAAGGTGAACTTTGTGGAGTAGGAAATGGTTGCTCAGGAGGAACACCGGCAGGGATTTGGCTCATCTTGTCCATCAAAGCTGCGATATGAAGATGAAAATGGATTTCAAAACTTCGCCAAGATGTCGATACCAACTTTAGACAAGCTAGTGGGAAAAGTTCTCACTAGATATACATGATTCCTTGAGTTCTGAAAATTTCTGTTAACAACTCAATTCTGCAAGGTCTTCAAACCTTCTAACGTCCCTGACCCAAATTTTTCTAAAAACGTACGAATTTTCTGACGTTCTACAGACTTCTCTTAAGGTCTACGGACTTCTCTGAAGTTCTTTAGATTTATCTATTTCCGACTTCCATGGAGTTCTGCAAAATATTGTACTTTTGTACTTCGCTGCGATTTGTTTTTGGAATTTAGGTGCTTTTCTGACATTTAACAAATTTTTCTGAAGATCTCACATTTGAGTGAAACTGTGAAACTTTCCGTCAAATTCCTGCAAATATCTTTAAAGTTCTGTAAAGTTGTCTTAAGCTCCGTAGCTCTAATCCCAAGATCTACAAAAAAAAACTTGAGGCTCCATAAATTTCTCAGTAGATCTGCAAACTTCTCTGATGTTTTGTAAATTCCTCTAGGGTTACCCTGAAGATTTGAAAATTTCCTTGAAGATTACCTAAAGTTGTCAAAATTTATCAGAAAATATTTGAGCTTCCTTGAAGTTTTAAATGTCTCTCTCGAGATCTACAAATTTTCCTGAAATCGTGTAAATATTTATTTTTTAAAATCCCTGAAGTTCTGCAATTTTTACTGAAGATCCATTAACATTTCTGAGATTCTTGTGATTTTTTCAGAATTCCTGTGATTTTTTTCAAAGTTCTGTAGCTTTGTTCTGAAGATCTACGAACTTTTGTGATGTTGAATAATGTTTCGAGGATCTCCAAATTTCTGTGAAATACTTTATATTTCACTGTAGATTCTTGGACTTGTCTGAAGTTATGCGAATTTCCCTGAAGATTTGTAAAATTTCGCTTATAGTTTTACAAATTGATTTGAAATTATTTTTGCCTGCTTGAAGTTTTGAAAATTTCTTTGAACATTTATCTGAAGATCTTGTCATTTATAGAGAGGTCTTGTGATTTTGTTTTTATGAATTTCTGTTAATAACTTTTAATTTGTTTGTAGTTCTGTTCTCAAGATCTACGAACTACCCTGAAGCCAAATATTATAAATTAACAATATGGTTCACTTCCAGAATTCCCATATATTTCTGAAAAGACGCATAAGTAATACCCTCTCCCGGTGAGAAAGGTGACTAAAAACATTCGTGGCCTTATTATTTAAGCGTGTAATCAATTCATACGTTTAGTCAAATAAAAGGTGTGGCAAACAGTATTAGCTTTCTCATGCATGTTACACGCCTACCCTGACGTCATGACATTGTACTACGTTCAGACTATAGTTGATATTAATAACGTAATAACGTTATATAGTATGATATCAAAAGTGCCTAAATGACGTGATATCTGCTATAGTTTGAATGTACAATTAGGTTAGAGGTAATCCAAACAAATAAAAGAAAAATGCAGATTATATCTGCCATCCCT